GGGGTTAATGTAAGTGTTCCAAAACGCGACATTAATTTCTGGACGACGTAATATTTACAAAATAAGCAAGCTCGTAACTTTAATTAATATTCTCATGGAAAACCGCTAAGTAGCTATTTAATATATATATCATCCGTGAAAAATCTACATGTAATTCTGTTTAATACTCGCACGAAAAAAAAAAAAACACTACACGTAAATCTATATACATGAAAAACTAGCAAATAACTTTTTAGCATTTGTTTTTGATTAATGAATTTCTATAATTCTCCAGTAAAAAACACCACAGTTATTTAACTTTTTATATACTTTTCTTTGTTCCCCTGTGGGACAGCAGATTTAGAACGCTCAAAATAGGGGTTCGATTTCTCTCGGTGGACACAGCAGATAGCCCATTGTGGCTTTACTGTGAGAAAAAAAACAACACACACACACACAGATATTTTTTTACGATATTTCAAAATAAAGAAGATAATAACCGGTAGGAAGCGCTCACTCAGCACAAGTTGTAAACCATAAGTTCCTTCCCATTAAAAGCTCGAAAACCTAACAGTGATTTGTCAAAATGTAAAATTCTTAACGTATTGAACTAGATCAAACGACTATTAGCTTAAGAAAAAATAGTTAATTCGCTCAACGTTTCATGTTGTTGTTTTTTTTCAGTTTCTTCAGGAAGGATCTTCTACATTAGTCAAACGTATAAAAGGCCTTTCCTAAAGAAGTTGTATTAATCAATTGAGCGGATTATTATTATCATTGAAGGATTTAGTTTTAGTTTGTTTGAAGTTAAGCACAAAGCTACACAATGCGCTATTTGTGCTCTGCCCACCACGGGTATCAAAACCCGGTTTCTAGCGTCGTACGTCCGCAGACATACCGCCGTGCCGCTGGGGGGCTCATTGAATGAGATAGTAGTTTAATCAAAACTAGTAATTATCTTATTACTTCCGGTAAAAAAAAAAAAGCGTTAAACGCCATGATCACGAAATGCCTAAAGCAAGCTTATATCTTGAGATAGGAATGACTAAAAAAATAATTCACAACAGTCACAGAATGATATATTACATCAATTTACCATTTCCTTCAACACGTTATTTACCATCTCCTTTATCTCGTGATCTTTCCTTCGAGAAACTTTTCAAAATACGAAGTTAAGTTACGTGTTGACAGTTCAACGGTGTATAAACCGCATAGAGGGATGGAACACTTCTGGCGTCAACATCTTCCAATACACAGGTATTAGTGTGTTGTGCTGTGTATAAGTCAAGGCGCGGGTTTACATTCGTACACTGCTTCAACTCGCAGCCTATTGGTTAGAAAATATAATAAAAATCAAACCTGTTATTTGTTTATAAATGACCGAGTAACATATAATTGTTGCAATATATGGTGCAATATATTCACATCATTTTTTTCATTTTAACCTTCAATGTATTCTCATATTTTTCTCACAAAAACATTTTGAACACAAAAAAACATCTAAAGTTAAATACATTTTATAATTCTAACAAGTTTTCACAGTGCCTAAATCGGTAAGGAAATTGAAAATGACGTAATCAGTTTTCACGTTTGAATCCATTTAGTCCATGAAACTCACCGATTGTCTCGATATACCAGCATGCACTGCGAACCACGACGTGGACGCACGAAAGCAGCGACGTCTATTGTTGCACTTCAAGCCCAACTAATCATTCATACCCAGACTATCTAACACCAGCAATCTGACAAAAGTCGTGGACACGAGAGAGCGCTTCAAGCCACATTCAAACTCTGTGCACATATATAAATATATAAGAATAGGAACAAAAGCCGAAATTACCAGCTCTACGAGCTTATTAAAACTTATATATATATAAGAATAAGAACAAAAGCCGAAATTACCAGCTCTACGAGCTTATTAAAACTTATATATATAAGAATAAGAACAAAAGCCGAAATTACCAGCTCTACGAGCTTATTAAAACTTATATATATAAGAATAAGAACAAAAGCCGAAATTACCAGCTCTACGAGCTTATTAAAACTTATATATATAAGAATAAGAACAAAAGCCGAAATTACCAGCTCTACGAGCTTATTAAAACTACAAGAGCCTTTCAGTCATAGTTTATACTATTTGATTTTGTATTTGATTGACAAGAAGAATCGAGCTGTAGATTCTGTAGGTTTCAAACTATAATTTCCAATATATATATGTGTGTTTTTGAGTAAAGAAGGCAAAATAAAAAAGCCGAGGATATGGCTCGCTAACCTCAGTTAGTTACGACCCTGCATATGAATACAGAATTAAATACATTCATACTCATCAGATGTTACGGCCCTACATACAAATACAAAATTAAATACATTCATACTCATATTTACGACCCTGCATACAAATACAGAATTAAATACATTCATACTCATCAGATGTTACGGCCCTGCATACAGATACAAAATTAAATACATTCATACTCATCAGATGTTACGGCCCTGCTAAAAATACAAAATTAAATACATTCATACTCATCAGATGTTACGACCCTGCATACAAATACAGAATTAAATACATTCATACTCATCAGATGTTACGGCCCTGCATACAAATACAGAATTAAATACAATCATACTCATCGGATGTTACGGCCCTGCATACAAATACGGCCCGGCATGGCCAGGTGGTTAAGGCACTCGACTCGCAATCAGAGGGTCGCGGGTTCGAATCCCTGTCACACCAAACATGCTCGCCCTTTCAGCCGTGGGGGCGTTATAATGTGACGGTCAATCCCACTATTCGTTGGTAAAAGAGTAGCCCAAGAGTTGGCGGTGAGTAGTGATGACTAGCTGCCTTCCCTCTAGTCTTACACTGCTAAATTAGGGAGGGCTGCGCAGATAGCCCTCGTGTAGCTTTGCGCGAAATTCAAAAACAAACAAAAACAAGCATACAAATGCGGAATTAAATACATTCTCACTCATCAGATGTCTGTCTGAACACTGTAGACTGTAGGAGTCATAGAAGTAACGCAAACAGAGAAATTATACTTTCTGAATTAGTGTTCAATGTGAGAGTATACTGAAATTCAAACCTGCAAGAAGTAGCTCCATCAAAATCTTGGATAACTTTGTATGAAAATGATATTTTTACTGAAGTAATATGATGAATAAACGTGGTATTGGAGCTGTTAAAATAGTTAACATGCACACAGATAATAAGTATTAAATTATATCTCCAAATTTCATCGTTTTAGTTCATAAATAGCTCAGCCTATTTTGAACCATTTGACTTTCCAAATAATCCACGCCACGCTGGAACCGCACCCATATGAGTTAAGTTGTTCTTTACCCTTTGTTACAAAACTCAAGATAGAATGAAACATTTTAAGTTCTCCCTCATCTTCCTTTAACGGCCTTCTTAACTTTCTGTTCGAAAATTTTCATCTAAACTTAACAACAGAATCTGTTCCAGATATATTTCAAAGTCTCTCGTTTTAATCTATGTGAAGCTACCACTTGCTACCATCTCGAATAGCATGAACAAATGGGCAAATAAACAATATTTATGTCTTTTCTGACCCTTGAACACATAACCCACTATTATTTCGAGGGTTCAAAGTTTCTGCATGTTGCCAAAATAGTATAATTTTGCATGATCGTTTATTATAAAAAAAAAACAGTGTTCTAATCAGACTAGCCCAGACTAACGGCGTGATAATGTTAATACAAAAGCGTAGAAACTATTCACGCGCATAAAACTTCTAAGAGTACCTTGATAAAGTACTTAAGTTACTATGGTAAAAATCGTGCGTGGAGATTGAACGTATACGATTACATGGCTACCCTAACGAGGCCCGCGCCCATCCCAAAAGCAACTTGCTTAAATACACCCCCAGGTTAAATAGACGCGTCTAAGCATCGCGCACCGTAACGAAAGTAATCTCCCAGTGGCGGCAGCTAGCCTGAAAGACAGCCGATCGTCAGCATACTACGTAGTTTATCCGTGGAGAGGAAAAGATTGAGGTGCGTGTAAATGTCGCTCTTCCGTTTTTGCAGATTCCGCGCAACGCGTTCGGTCGGAAGTGTTGACGGGCGATCTATGTAAGGTTTTTTTGAGTGACGTCTGCCTCTTCAGCCAAAGTTTAGGCCTGTTTTTAAAGGGAGTTGTGACTTCGTTTTACCTGAAACGTTTGTTAATATAACTTCAGCCGAATTTTCTCTGTTTGTTAGTGACGATGCTTTTACTATCAGCTGTGCATTGGAAAACCGCAAGTTTCTTTGGTTTTTTTCTACGATTTTACGTTATTTAATATTTTAAGCTGCTTTCGCCGAGGACAAAAGTAGTTCCATATTTTTGTTACGGAAACTCATGAAGGAGGTTTAGACTGATTTATTAAACACTGAGCTGGTTTTAACAACAAAGGAAACTGTACCACTCGTTCAAGAAATTCAACATCGTGTGATTATGTTTAATGTGCTTTGAAGTGAGATGTCATAAACAGATGAATAAATGAGGCTTAACATAGGTGAGCAAAATGACGTTTTGTTTCTTCTTGTTTAATCTTAGACTCAAACCTCGCTTCTCCAATAGTGATTGTTATATAACACGTGAATTAGTATGTAGGTTCTCTTTATGTTTATTGATCCTGGTTTTACTAAGGTTTTACTCTGATGTTGTAAACGTTATATATCATCCTTGATTAATCCTTTAACTAGGCTCTTCTTTGATATTGTTAAATACTGTGTGTTATTGACTTTGATTAGCAGAAAATAACCACTTTTTGTTACTGCTCAGCTCTAGAAATTAGGCCCTGATCATTTGAGGTTGATGTCGTACAACTCTGTGTAAAAAGTAGGGACAAAATCACTTTTTTATCCTTGTTTAAACCCAACAACTTGAACCAAATAATTGTTTTTAAACTGTAACATGCAATGTTTTTAAAACAAAGCAGTTCTTTACAGACTATAATTAAAAGTTTTACTCACATTATATCTAGCAGTTCTATCCAAGCTGTAATAACGGTTCTTCACAAATAATAGTTACGTTTTACCTAACTATAATTAGCAGTTCTGTCTAACCTGTAATAACGGTTCTTCCCTGTGGAAACTGTAATTATCAGTATTACACAAAGTATTAACAGCACTATACAAAGTATTGTTAACAGTAATACACAATATATTATTAACAGTATTACACAAAGTATTAACAGCACTATACAAAGTATTGTTAACAGTAATACACAATATATTATTAACAGTATTACACAAAGTATTAACAGCACTATACAAAGTATTGTTAATTGTAATACACAATATATTATTAACAGTACTACATAAAGTATTATTAACAGCACTATATAAAGTATTATTAACGGTACTACACAAATTATTATTAATGGTAGTATCCAAAGTATTATTAACGGTACTATTCAAAGTGTTATTAACAAGACTACATAAAGTGTTATTAACATCACTACACAAAGTATTATGTATTATTAAGGTAATAATCAAATCATTATTAACAATACTACACAAAGTATTATTCACGAAACTACAACAAATACGCCTCTTTTTTTTTTTTTTTCAAGCTGAATAAACGCGTGTTGTGTTTCGTAAAATGGAAGCTGTACTTTTACAAGGGCCTTAATTTAATTGAATTGAATTGGCAAAAAGTTGTTTGCCCAAGCACAAGGTATATAAACCAGGATACTTTATATTGTAGGCTGGGAAAGTTGATTGTAAAATCTATAACTATATAGACTTACAAAGTCGATAGTCGTAGTTAACCAACAGATCAGGTGGAATCACACATTTGGAAATGTTACACGAGTTTAGAAGTTTCTTACCGACAGTGAAAGATACCAAGTTCTTTTAAACAACGTACACTTTTTTTTCCATCAAACACAAAGTTCTTTCAGTGTATTAAATCAACGTTGTTGTAAGGATCCAATGAACGAATTCAGACACTTAACGATATGGGTTACATTTTGACATTGTTGTAAGATTTCTAGAGTAAAAAAAAAGGGGGGGGGTACGAAAAGCATATCTCTGAAAGGTTTTGGAGGGACACAACTTTCTTTATACATATTTTGTTATTAATACAACATACCAATCGTGCATGTGATGAGATAACACTGTGTTGAGGAATCTTTGTAAAATGTTAAGTAAAACCACAACAGTCTAACACTATATAAAACGTTATACAGTTTCGCATTTTTGGCCATTAACTAACAATAGGCTGAATTTGCTGACCCCAAGATGAAAGAACAGTAATAAAAACACAATGGAAAAACAATCTAGAATAATTATTCAAAGTATTAAATAATAAATACGAATTAGTACTGAACATATAAGCAGAGCCTTAAACACAGGTGTTAGACTGCTATAATGTTTTCATGTAACACAATGCATTTTAAAACATAAATAAATAACCATAAATACGTGTTTAAATGCCCAACTAAAACAAATATTCGTTTCCAGTTAATAAAAACTTTAGAATAAGTGAGTAATTGTAAAGTTATTTCTTATATATGAATAGATCGTATGCTCAGATGTTAATACTTTTGCATGTGATGTCGCTAACATTGGAGCTAGACACCTTGTCAACAGCAGCAATGTGTATAGGTAAATGACTCGAAAGTCATTGTTCTGTCCACACACTTCTTGTGAGTTATTAACCGTTAATAAGTTACCACAACCAGCCTTTCTTCCTGAGGCTTACAATATGGGAAACGATACACATATATATATATATACAGGGTCAGGCAAAAATTACCATATGGTTAATATAGTTTGTATTATACGATTTGTACAGAAAAAAATATTAGAAAGACAATTGAAACAAATTTTATTATTGTATTTTTAATGTTCTAAATGAAAGTTGAAACGTTTACTCCACTTTGCATATACAATGTAGTCTTTTGGAATATTTAGCAGTGCGATTTCCCTTTCTGTAAAATAAAATTCCCATACGTAATTCATTTCGTCAAAATCGGATACATTAATTTTGTAAATAAACCAAAATAGATAAAAAAAAAAGATGTCTCGTACTTTAATTTTGACCAATCGGAAAGCTTTTCTGTTAAAAATCACTGCTCTAAACTGGGGTTCTTGTCCCCGAAAATTGGGTTCATTCATATGGTAACCTTTCTGTGAAAACCTACACACGTAGCCAGCCTTTAAAGAGTTCGGAACGTTCTGGCCTAGTATTGAAGATGTGGTATGGGCATTCAGGGGTTCTGTAAAGAGTCCTGTTTTCCTGTACGTTCTAGCCTGATATAGAATATGTGGTATGGGCTGCCAAAGGCTGTGTAACGAGTTCTGTGTTCCGGTGCGTCCGAGCCCGGTAGTGGAGATGTGGTATGGACGGCTACGTTGTTGAAATAATGCTAGTATTGTTACCGGGTCTGATGAATAGTAGTAATGATGCTACAAAACCAGAAACTCTATCTCAATCGCTTTTAGAAGCGAAGTCTTCCTTCTCTAGAGAGGTGAATTTTGTTGTTACAATAGGGTTAACTAACTGCCTTCAAACACTGTGTCAAGAACGGTCAGTTTTATTTACCTGACGATCGCTTTATTTTAGTAAAATAGATAGTTATGGTGTAATTATGTGATTGTAAAAAAAATTTCTCCTTGTACTTCAAGGTTCAATATAACAGTCTAGAGATTTTAGCCGAATTCTGTCCATATAAGTTGTACTGTAGTTTTGGTTTCTTACCCGCGAGTGTGGGGTCTCTCTCTCCCAGTAGGGAATACTGTCTCTGTTGTTGCTAATCGGTGCGCCGATCTGGGGAACCTGAGGGAATAAGATAACTCAGACGGCTGGTTCAGGCGGCGCCTGAGCTGCGTTAGACAGAATATTGTAATGCAATTAGCGGTAAAATAGACGGATAGAGACCGTGAGGTCTGATTTTCTCTGCACTCTAAAATGCAGCATAGTGTGAGCGATACACGTAAAAAAGAAAGTTATTGATTAAGTTTGGCTTAGTATTAGCTCTTACCCGGTGGTAAGGAAGTGAGAGATTAAACTTAGGGAAAGTTAACAGTACCCACCGCCAACTCTTAGACTACTCATTTCGCATAATGGAGTTTGACCGTCACGAACGCGGGTTGACCCTGTGGTAGAATCCTGGATTTCATAGATAACAAGCCTGGTTCGAATCCATGCGATACTACAAAATATTTTCCCCAATTTAAGTTGTGGGTGCGTTATAATAGCGAAAGTCAGTTCCTTAGCGTGAGTGGTAGGCATGGGCGTCCACAGAAATATTTTCAGGGGAGGGGGCAAAGCGTATATGTAGAAGATCAGCTTTGATAGTGTAAGTCAACAGACTAAAATAATCCGTGTTATATGTGCTTAAACGCAAGCACAAATTTACAGTTTTAATAAAAAATACTAATAATATTTAGTTTAACTACGATGTTAAGTTTACATCATAATACGTGCAAAAAAGGTTGCAGGATGTTGTTCAGTGGCTACGCTTCCCTCTGGTAAGTAGTTCAAAATTAGAGACAGTAGCATATAACCTTAGTGGCTTTGCTATAAATAGAAATTGACTATCGGTCTTATAACGCACACATAACATCAAGTGCAGGGTACTTTTTGCGTCAACGGGACATGAACCATGAATATTCAGAATTTTAGTCCGACACGCTAACTACGCCCGACCCAGCCAAATAAAAAAGATAAACGTTCAGATGTTTCAGTGGAAAAATAACTTAGATAGTTATTAGAATAAAAAAATGTTTCATTTTGTAAAACTTGACGTTAGGTTATTAACTCCTGTATCTTGCATGTTTCACAATTCCAAAGCTGCGCAGATTCTTTTTTTAACTCTTAAAAACGTTGGGTTGTGTCTTAATCAATTTTATACATTACTTAAGGTTTGTTGCAATTTCCTTTTCCAAATTTCGTTCTCAATTTTACGACCACCCCAGTGGCACAGCGGTACGTCTGCAGACTTATACCGCTAGAAACCGGGTTTCGATACCCGTGGTGGGAAGAGCACAGATAACCCTATGTTTAGCTTTGTGCTTACTAACAAACAAAATCTCAATTTCACGTATTTTCAACTTATTCTACTTTTATTGAATATTTGTAATTTTTTGCAGTAGAAAATTATTTCAATAAATTATTTTTTTTTTTACTATTTGGGACATTTATTTTATACAACATTTATATTACGTAACGCATTATGTTTTTCTTCCCACCTAGCTCTTTATTAGTTTTTATTTTGTGTTTTCTCCGAAAAAAATGGCTATATCATTTTTTCCGTTTACCTATCATTGTCGGCCATCATAATTCACGTTTTATTTTTACTTGCGATATTTTTTCTTCTTTATTTTTCACGGTTTGCTTGTTTATTGGTAATTACGCACAAAACTACACAATGGGCTATCTGTGCTCTGCCCACCCCGGGTATCGAAATCCGGATTCTAGCGTTGTAAGTCCGCAGACATACCGCTGTGCTACTGGGGGGCATTTTTCATCGTTTATGATAATACTTTATTTAAATCGGTCAGTGACTTTGAAAACTCGTACCCAAACAACAAAGAGAGCTGAAAGTGAAATAGCCTGGTAATAAAATAACTCGTACAGATATGCATGAGCATTAATGTGAAATGAACCACAGAACAAATTTCCCAATTACCCTGAAAACCGAATCGAAATTAATACTGTGTGACGAATTTTTGAGGACAAATGAAAATATTTAAATTCAATAAATGATTTATTTATATATCACAGAAATTAATTTAATTTTGATATAAATATCTACGTTACACGTTGCCCCCAGTCACAGCGGCATGTCTGCGGACTTACAACGCTAGAATCCGAGTTTCGATACCCGTGGTGGGCAGAGCCCAGATAGGCCATTGTGTAGCTTTGTGCTTAATTACAAACAAACAAACGTTACACGTTTAGTAATAATAATATGCTCTTTGCCTCAGTTTCTGTTTTCGTTTATTTTATGCGAGTTAAGCCTTGCTTAAGTTTGATTACTTTACATTTTTCTTTCTCTCATAACAAATGACGTCACGTGTATTAAAAAAGAATTGTATAACTTTAAAGATACATCCTAACACTATATACATATATATAACAAGTTCGTTGTTTTCATAAAAATTCTCGCTCTATTTCGGTAGTATGCTATAATTAATTTATATGTATACATACGAATTACCCTGTGTATTACTACCGTACGATACGTTACACGTTAGGTTGTTCGTGTAACTGTATATTTAATCCCAATACTTTAGAGTTCATTACACAGCGACTCGCAATATGCGGGTCGCGGGTTCGAATCCCCGTCACGCCAAACATGCTCGCCCTTTCAGCCGTGGGGGCGTTATAATGTGACGGTCAATCCCACTATTCGTTGGTAAAAGAGTAGCCCAAGAGTTGGTGGTGGGTGGTGATGACTAGCTGCCTTCCCTCTAGTCTTACACTGCTAAATTAGGGACGGCTAGCGCAGATAGCCCTCGTGTAGCTTTGCGCGAAAATTCAAAACAAACAAACAAACAATCATTACACAGCACTTTAGAGCGTTATACGATAACTTATATACAGAAATAGTCCTGCCATACGATACGCTATATCATATTGTTGTGTTATTCAGTACTTTAGGTATATAACTATTTTATGAACCACACAAAAAAAAACGTAAATAAAACTTCCATCAGTTATTACAGTTAATCTCATTAATTACTGCTTTGGTTCCCTACATATTTTACATAGAAAATGGAAGCTGTCATTCAACCTTTCCGGTCAGTTCTTCACGGTAAATGTTGTAAAAGAAAAATTAACATAAAATTATTCAATATGATGTCACTTGTGGGCCTCACCGTCAGTGAAAAGTGTAAAACAAAGTCAGTAATTTAATCTTAGTTGTTTTTATTTTTCAATCTGTGAGTACTAGTTCACTGTGTGTGTGAAATGCTTATTCTAAGTAAAACTCGTGAGCGGTATCCATGCTTTATTCCATTTATTTGGATATAAAATTTGTTCTGTGTGATATTCTGTTTTAGAGTTCATCTGTACTTATTGATTAAAGTGCTTTAACATCTGTTTCTCTTTTCCATATCTAGGAGCCAACGAGTAATGTTCTATACTAGATGCTATCTTTCTGATCCAACGTTTGAAACACGCTCAGCTAACACAGGAGGGCACACTGAAGAGGCTCGTTTACCACCGGGTTTTGAGAAAGAAAATCCATTGGACCTATCTTTCAAACCCGTTTGTCCGACTCCGAACAGTGTCGTGGAAGCTGAAGAAATGTTTTACCTCGAGCAGCGGAAATTTGCTGGATTGGATGGCTCTCAAGGACTTCCACCAGGACTACATAGGCACATTTCGAGCATAGGAGGATCATCTGGAACTTTATTGGATCCGACTCTTCTCAGATTGGGCTATAGAACAGATGCCGCCTTGGGTGGCATGTTGGGCACCAATATGTCATCACCATTTTGTGTGGATAGAACACCAGTTTCATCATCAACACCAGCTTTTGGAGCTCACCATTTGATGAACAGTGTTTTCCATCAACGGGAACGATGCTTGGATCAGCATGGTGGTATATGTGGAGCGGTGCGACCCCCCACACAGCATTTATCACCATTTTTCGAACCTTCACCATTATCTGTACCTCTTCGACCCACCAACAGTGGCATACCTGAGGGGAACCCTAACTTGGGACCAAGAAGTTTCTATGGACAAAACAATCCAAACTCTTTTGGATTACCAAGTTTCTCGTTATACCCTGAACGAAATGAAGAAAAGGGGGCTTTTGTGGCTCTTCGCCCTGGTGCTGAGAAGAGTGTGTTGAATGGCACTCCACTCGACGCAACAAGTTACGCTGAGCATCTTCAACGTCTGGGAGAACATCACGTGCAGCAGAAGAAATGTGTAGGTGCATGCTATTCTCAATCCTTTGGTAGCTTGGGTCAACCTCCCAATTCCTGTTCGTGTTGCTTGTCTCCACAAACGACTTTCTGTGGTCGTGGTCCAATAGGTTGTTTGGGAAAGGAACACCCTTGTGAAAAGATATGTAATAGTACTTGCGGATACTTCAACCCTTCTCTATCTTATCTGGGTCAGCATTCGGCCACAAGCGACGTTCATTTGGCAATGAATCCCTACTACTCCAATTTTCCAGAACCTGTAAGAAGAGAGGAATCCTTCGGTTCAGTGTTTTTCTCAAATCCAAATCTATGGGGTTCAGGATTAATAGCAGCTCCGATCAGTAAAGCTGTAGTCCCAGCTGCCTCTCCAGCACTCAAAAGAAAAGACAGCGCAAGCTTCGGGCAGAAAGAAAGTCCACATGTTGCCAAAGATTTTCCAGGTTCTTCAACTCCCGCCGAACATCGAGATGTTGTGATGAAGCATCGTCCTAACCCAACTTCTGGATTGAGTGTAGAAACTTTGAAGAAAGAATCCGATGAAGTAATTGTTATTGAAGATGGACCCACGAGCAAATGCATTAAACGACATTCTTCTAAGCCGAATATTCAATTATTAGAACAAAGAACTAAAACCAAAGAACATTTTCAGAAAGACATTCAGAAACAAAATGACACTCAAGATACTTCGTCTCAGTCAATTAAAGGAGTTGACCCTTCAAATATCAGGATGAAGATGCCACGGTTGGAAGCAGTCACTAGATCCCCAAATTCTGCAGATAACACACAGGGACACGAAAAAAAATTTTCAGACCCTCCACCACTTACGGCAGCAGCAGATATTACTGCCTTGAGTCAAGCGAGTACAACATCCTCTGTGTATCCTTCTTCTCTCTGGACACCTCACCAACCAGCGACAAGTTCAACTTCTTTCTCGATTAATACGTATACATCTGTCACGGCATCTACTCATCACCAGTCATTAAATACTTCGTACACCAAAAAGCACAAAAATGCAGATGTGGACATGTGTAAGCCCCAAATCATGTTTCCAAGCAATCATCAATTCAGTCAAAATGTTGCATCGTCGCTTCCACACAGCATCAGAAATCTCACTCATGACATAAAGCCTGCTGCGGGTTTGGACATCGAAGAACCTGGGTGTTCACGTGCTGGAAAATCTTCTCGTCATCAAACTGATCTTGGTCATTGCCACCGGGTAAAACAAGTTGATGTCGATCATACAAAAGAAGGGTCAAATTATCCATCGCCTCCAAAGGAATACCAAAGGGCTGATGATATACCCCCGAAATCAGCACTGCCTTATGATCCTTATTGTTTTACCCAAGACAAATCCGAATACACTTTCAATGACTCTGAGGGCGTTGTGTCACCACTAGATGTGAGTGGGTTGAAAAAAGGTCGCAAAAAGTCTATGTTACAGTACCTAACTAATCCTGAAGATTATGTTGTTTTGAAGAAGAAGAAAACCAATTACTCGGATTCTACATCTAATCAACCAAAACTTGGGAAAGAAAAGAAGGAACTTCAAGTAAGTTTCTTTTAACAGAATAAAACTTTACATGTTGATTCTATAAAATTTTGTTTGACTGTATTTTTTTGTTTGTTTGTTCTTCTTTTAAAAATACTTGTATAGCTATATGTTATCCTCCAGTATAAAACATATAACCGAAGATGCGTTAAAATTTCTACTGTCGGAATTATTCTTTCTTATCACTAAATTAACATTTCAAATTTTACAATTTCACGAAACTGTTCCTGAGTCGCGTTGTTTCTTTTAATCATTATTGGCATTCGTCTGTATTCGATATTGTAATATGTAGATAGAGGTGTTACTAGCATATTTACAAACACTACCGATCTTTATGGTGACCATTCTAGCCAAAGCTATACTTACTCAGACTGTTCCGTGATTTTGGAGAAAGAAGTCTTGATCGAACTTTGGAAATCGATGGCGTACAAATACGGCTTGCGTGTGTTGACTAAGGACGCAAACTAAAACTACCACGGTCTGCTTGCGTATCTGTAGCTGTTGTTTTCTGTTCGTCGAATAAGGTATCTTCGTGACCTGAAGCTTTGGATCATTTGAAACGAGAAGAACGAGAACGTGATGTTGACAAAAGTTTCGGAAAGTAAAAGGAAAGAGGATGAGATAATTGGACATTTTTTTTTTCTCTGAAGTTCTACTATTTCATGCTTGTTTTATTAGCACTCCACTGGACTCATAAAACTAAATTACGATATCATCAAAAATTTGAAGACATATTTATGTCATCTATTACGCCAAAACCCACATAAAATTATTTTTTTTTGCGTATTTTTTGGAGTACATGTGGTTTTCTTATATTAGCTTTATCAGAAAGTGTTGTAGTCGAGTTGTTAAATAGTATGTTATTAATAGAAGCTTTGGAGTTAATCCTGTAGATCAGATGGCAGAGCGCACGCTTGGCTTGCAAGAGCTATCGGGTCGATTCCAGTAACTGAAGAGATCGGAATAGCACACAAACAAACAGACAATACGAATTATGAACGGGTCTTGTTTGAGAGAGGGAAAAAGTTTGAGCTGTTAAAAAGTACCTTTAGTTACGGGTTCGTGAGAGGTACTACAGCAGTGATCAACCTACTTTCACGGTTAATTTCTTTTGGTACTTATAAATTACCGACATTTCCAGTTAACATTTTTGTGCAGTGAGAGAGAAATAAGCACTTAACATGACAAAAATAGGAAGCTTTTTACAAATTACGGGAGTTTTCTCATTGTTCCCCTCCACGTGGCACCGCCCACAGATAGCATATATAAACTAGGTCGGGGTTTATATATATATACTAAAGCTAACCACGTGCAACGTGTTACACATTAAAGTTGTGCCCTAAAGGAATAAAATATTATACATATTAGTAGCAATGCCAAAGATTATTTTAATACTATTGGATGAGTGTCTTTACTAACTTTGACCAGTACGAGTTAGTTTGAGTTAGTTCGAAATCAAGAAAGGGTTAAAAATAACAAGATATTAAACTTCTAGTATCGACTGGTAAGTTAAGCCGTATGATATTGATAGATAGGAGAGGGCTGCATGTTTCCTAGAGTCTCGGAGGTTCACTCGACCACTGCTTAAAAACGCTGTTTTCTTTTTGTGTGATAAAGAGACTCATTAGTGGGCGTGACTTGAAATGTTGAAAGTTTCTACGCATCATTTGCTGAACTACATTTATAAAATACATCATTTATAGTCCAGAATGAATACATCCCTCAAGGAGACAGGTGTGCCTGTCAAACGCGCTAGAGTTTTATCCTTTTTGTGTGTGTGTTTGCTCCCACCTGTTTTATATTATTATTAGCACGAAGCTATACTGCAAGTAACGATTTTCTTTCTTATATTTTCATTACTAAACCATTCTGCGCACGAAAGACTGAATTATATGCCAAGATTATTAAATTAATCATCGGGTTTCCTTTTTTAGATACCTCAATTCATTAGACACGTTTATTTTATGATTTTTTTTTTCAGTAAGTAAAAAGAAAAAACATAATACATCAGAATTTATTTTATTGTTTGATTTTTAAGTAAATGTGCATAAAAGACTGAGTTAGATATTGTGATCGTTAAACTCATAATAAAACATAAAAAAATACATCAAAATTTCGTACGCGAAACTTTTTACGAGAGGCAAGATCTGTTTCATCTTATTGTGAAAGCAGTATTTGAATACACTGATACACCCGCTTCAAAATTTAATGAGACTTTTAATAAATTATATCCATATTATACTTCTGTCTATGTAACTAAAAGTCTATTTATCTTTTTAGGTACTTAGATGTGTGATTTTAATACTCTAACTAGGTACCCTTCACAGGAATATAAAGATGCGAAACTGTAGGTACTATAAAGACTAAAAGCCTCGTGATTAGCGTGCCTGGACTTTGAATTTGAAAACTCATGGTTCGCGTCACTTTTGGGCTATGGGTGTGTTATAATAGTAACAGTCAACTTCTACTATTCGGTAGGATAAGAGTAGCCAGAAAGTTGGAGGTGGGTGCTGTTGACTAGCTGCCTTCCTTCCAGTCTATGAGTTCATAATTATAGTCCTTTGTTTAGCTTTCCACCAATTTTTTTCTGAGCAAAATAGACTTTTGAGATGATCCCTGTCTAAATAAATGATTTAACAGGATACGTACATATAATATCGTGTATTGAATATGTGTAAATTTACACTTTCAAATGTAAAATCGACAAGTTTCGTGAATCATCCATTCCGTGTGAAAGAGTATGTATATAATATCTTTTGGAGTTAATTTTTACTAAAACACAAACCATTCCCGTTTTCTTGAATCAATAATGAATGAAGAGTATGATTTAGTTAATTCTTTATGTCTTTTGCTTCTGAGAAAATTGATGAGTTTCTAAGCTTATGAAAATTAATTAATTAATTATTACAAAAAAAAGCAATGAATAGGCAAGGTCTAGTGGTCATCGTGCCGGGTTGCGAAGAAAAAAGATCCAAGTCTAAGATTTGAGATATACCACTAAACACACTCCACATTTTCTGTTGTTGGCGCGTTAAAAAAGTGACAGTCAGTTTTGCCATTCGGTTGAAAGCTATTGTTAAAGCGGATGTTACTGGCTAGCTGGCTAGCTGACTTCCCTCTATTCTGTAGTTCAAAGTTAAGGATGATTTTCTTTTAATTATAATAAATTATTAAAAACAACGTTTTATATTTACACAGTAAAAACTTTATTGAAGCCTTACGGCTTCCACTTCGAAACATGTACTTGTAGAGAGATATTTTAAAGTGAAGCCTTATGGCTTCAATAAAGTTTTATTGTGTAAATATAAAACGTTGTTTTTAATTATTTATTGAATTTAAAACATTTTTGAGTGCCGGTAGTGCATATTTAAGGATGGCTATACGTGAATCCGGGGGTCTTCTGACCTAGTCCCTTTAGCTCACGTGCATATAAAGTGTCGTTCATGTTGAAAGTTACAATAATAATAATAAACAGAAAAAGGTGATTTTAAAATTAATTTAAGGACTACTTCGTTATTTTCACCTTTATTATAACTTTGTAACAGTATTTCTTGGTACAGCTTTATAAACGTAAAGTCGTGAGAAACATATCGCAAGTACATGCTATTTATTGGTAACAAGTGATAAAAGGGCCAGACATTCAAAGTTCCGCCATATCTCATCTACATTAACCACAAATCAATGAATTAACAACTTGGTATGTATATATATGTCAATGAACTGTTACAGTGTGTTAATATCCTCGATTTTCCTTCCAGTCTACGTCCACCAAGTGTATTGATGGTACTTCTCCAAGTAGTTCCCAGGGTAAGTGTAATATTATCTCTTAAAAGTATAAATTTTTAACGTTCATTCTCGGGCGTTCATTTTTAACTGTGGTGCTGGAGGTTCTTCTCCAAGCGGCATCTAACGACAAATAGGATGGATGATAGTTTCTATTTTAGGCAGTTTATATATTTTTTATTGATTGTTCTGTTATCATGTAAGTATAATTCTCAGTCTTGTCAGCCAATAAAAACAATGTGATGTTTTCTCAATACCACCCTTATAATCAAGTTTAAAATTCAATTATTCATCATAGATAGTTAATTTAAAAATCTTAGAACATAATATTAACAAGTTTGCATAATTTTAGGTGATTAAGTTGTCTCAATTCGATTGCTTATTAACGTATATTTTGTTTGTCGTGATGTCATAAACAAGTGTCCAGGTTTGTCCCAGTGGTTAACGTACCGGACTTCGGAGCGGGAGGCACAAGAATCGACCGGGCGATAAACCGCAAAACCCGCTTTGCACTTCATTTCCAGTTGTAGATTTGTAATAAAATTGATAGTCAATTCGGCTAAGATTACTTATGTAAGTAGCTAGTGTTGTCCGCTGCTTGCTTTCCCTCTCGTATGCAGTTCTACATTAGGCTCGGCTTTGTTTTAAATAACATAAATAAATGTTCAGCGTTTTATTCATAAGTTCAGTTCTGTTGTTATATAAGATTTAGTAGTTAAAAGTGACGACTCTCTTTGAAACCCTTAGTTTTCATCTTTGATCATAATAGCCATTCGGTATCTTTAAGAAGCAAACTTTAATAAGGCAAGAGATAGAAGGCTTTTTTCTGCTGTATAACCTGTGTTTCTTTCAACTAGACTTCCAAATAGGTGGAAACTGTATGTGCTATCACTATTTATACGTCACTCATTTACCAGCCAGTGCGGGGGTGGGGGGTGAATCGATTAGATTTGATTACAATTTGGATGAGATTCCAAGCTACAATCAAGACCTTAGTGAACAGATTATAAGACGAAAAGAATGGTCATAGGGCTAAATTAATTTATTTTTTAGCTGCGGCATAGCGGCTCATATAATGGCCCTGAGTTT